GAACAAGTGAGCTGGACTAGGAGATGCAGCTTTACACCTGACTATTCCCCTGAAGGTCAGGTTGTTGACTGTTTACACAAGAGTATTTGGAGTTCTTTATACAAAGATCTTATAGTGGTCTGAATCAATATACTTACTATTGGTAACTTTGCAAGTGGACCCTTTATAAAAAAAAAAGCAAACTAATATCCTTAGTAAAAGGAGGTAGGCATCATTTGCATTATTTGGAATGAAAAAGGAGACTTAGACATCAGTACTTTATTTACTGCTGGAAAATGCATTTCGGTTAGACCTGCCAGTCTTGATTAAGAAGCACAAGAATGAGCTTGCTGGATGCCTTGAAGACAGTCCAGGTTTTCAGTCAGCCAGCCCACTGAGCCCTGGCTCTGCCTGATGGTGGGTACATGACCTCGAAACTTAGTCATTCAGTAAAATAGGAGGAGAAATATTTACATTGCAAGTTTTTTTCCTTTTAATGAGAAATCAATGAGTTGTAAATGAAAATTACTTAAAAAATGCTAGCTCCCTTTCAGCTTTGGAGAACTGACAAAACATAAGAAATTAGCACCAGCTTTGACCTGTCCTTGGCATTTGGACATGTGGCTTTGATCTAGAGTTCATTGGCTTTACCCCAGAGTGAGGGCAGAGCTCACTCTCATCAGGTGCACGGTTATCCCTGCCCAGTGCTCCACTCAGAAGAACTTATGAAGCCATGACATTGTCATCAGATACGTTTATCAGAAACTATAACAATAAAAATCTGTTTCATTAGTCATCAAAAATAAATGCTTAATGGAACACATGCTGGTGCTGAATTCATATCAATGAGTCAATTTTAGTGCAAAAAGTTGCCCTAATTAACAGTATTTGTGGTGAGAAAACGCTTCCAAAAATACCTGTTTTCTTTTAAAAAAGTATGATATTTTCTCAAATACAGTATTTTCAAATATTTCACTGCTCACCTGTATTTGTATCTTTATTATCCCCCATCATATATATATGGAAGAGCCAGTGATCATAATGTTGAGTAGCTTTCTCTGTACTGGAATTTAATCCTCATAACTTTATGAACTAGTGTGTATTATTAGCCACTTTGAACCAATCAGTAAACTAAGACACTGAAAGTGACTTTCCAAAGTTACACAGATAAAAAGTGGTAGAAGTGCATTTGAACTCAATGGTGTCAATCACATTCTAAGTCTATGCTCTGCTGCTTCTGGGAAGAGAAATAAGGGAGCCTCACACATATCATGAAACCTTTGTTTCTACGACTGGAAAGAATAAAAGAGCAAATTAACAGGGGTATTCATTTAGCTTGTAACTGAGGCAAGTCAGTTATAAGTTTACCGGTAGCATTGGGATTACAACTCCTGGTGAGAATGGAAGAGCGTCCCCTTGCAGTCCAATATGAAGATTCTATGGGACCGCAGGAGGTGAGCGAGACCAAGTCCTGTTGTGCTGGTGCCTCCAAGGAAACAGTTGGGAAGTGTGAGTGTCGGAGAGGGCCCTGGGCAGTGTGTCCAGGGGCCGTCTGTCTGGACTGTGCTCCCTGTCAGGAGTGCGGGTGCCGTTATTTGTACAGAAATAGAATCAGAGTTAGAACTTAGGAACATCTTTTATTTAACATGTTTAAAAAACCCAAATGGGACAGAGTTATGAAAAATATATAATTCTGATGTATGATTTATATATAATTCTTCTAAATTTATTCTTTATTATACTTGTGACCAAAGGAATACAAAAGTGGCTTAACTGTAAGTTTCTGCAAACATTTTAAAAGCCATCCTCTTTACTATTTGGACAGCAATTTTTTAGATGGGCATGATCTTGGGAACTAAAACGTTGCTGGCCAGAATTGTGCTCTACAAATTATGTTTGATTAGATGTTCAGAGAGTAGACAGATTTTGAAATCAGATGAGCTACCTCACACATGCATGTTAAAGGAATAAATAAGAGATTCCCTAAATCATTAGGATAGCTCTTGTTTTTCCCCAATATCCTGAAACTGATTGAACATTTATGATATGCTATGTTAACTACTTTATTAATTTCTAAAGAATAAAAAGGCTATGTTTCTTTTGTTGTTGTTGTTGTTAAACATAGTTTTGGGGAAAAATTAATGAAGAAGAATAACATCAGTACAATCTTTGACCTGCGCTGCAGTCTGCATATTTCTAGGTAGGTTTTAAGACTACACCTGGGGCTCAATCACATCTGGACAATATATCACCATAGCACAAAAATAGGAGGATAAGCAAACCCTCTTCCTATGGAAAGTCAGGTAGCAACGCCTTTCTGAGAATATCTGTCTGCAGAATCTACCACCTTGCTCCAAACAAAGGCTTCATGTGCATCAAGGGACTAAATTTGAAAATATTCAGTACCGAAAAAAGATACACAAATGGCAAACAGGTACATGAGAAAATGCTCACAGCACTAATCATTAGGAAAACGCACATCGAAAGCACACACCTGTTGGAATGGGCATCATCAGAAACACAAGGGATAACGGATGCGGTCAGGGTGCGGAGAAAAGGGGACCCTCCCACCCCGCTCCTGGGAGTGTAAGCTGGTATTGCCACTACAGAAAACAGCATGGAGTTTCCTCAAGAAGTGAAAAATAGAACAGCCCTATGATCCAGCAATCTTACTTCTGGGTATCCACCTGAAGGGAATGAAATGAGGGCCTCAGAGAGGTATCTGCAACTCCATCTGAATTGCAGCATTATTTATAATAGCCAAGACATGAAACCAACTAAGTGTACATCAACTAATGAATGCACAAAGGAGCTGTGCTGTATATAAAGAAATATTCAGCTATAAAAAGAGGGCTATCTTGCCATTTGTGACACCGTGGATGGACCTCCAGGGCATTATGCTAAGTGAAATAAGTCAGCCAGAAAAAGACAAAACTTGTCTGATCTCCTGTCTGTGTGGAATCTAAACAACAATAACAAACAAAAAAACCCCAAACCAAACTCACAGAAACAGAGAGATTAATGGTGTCAGGAGTGAGGGATGGGGGAAATGGGTGAAGATGGTCAAAGGTTACCAGCTTCCAGTTATAAAACAAATTCTGAGGATTTGAAGTGCAGTGTGGTACTGGAGTTGACGGTACTGTACTGTACACTTGAGAGCGGCTCTAGCTTAAAAGTCCACCCCCCCAGATGGTACCTATGTGAAGTGATGAGGTGTTAATTAACTTTATTGTGGCGATCATTTTGCAGTATATACATATATAAACCATCACATTACACATTAAATTACACAATGTTACATGTCAATTATATCTCAATAAAGCTGGCAAAAGAAGACCGAGGGACGTGTGACATCTACATTGTCTACATTTTTCTTCTTGAATGAACTCTTCTTACTAAACTGATCGATTGTTCTGATGTTTTAAAATCAAGATACTAATCAGCTTTGAGCTTCTTAATAACATGAATTCCTTTGGACTATTTACAGACTCATCAGCAATGACTGAGTTTATATTTCATAGAATCAGAGGACGTGAACCTCGCATTATAATCTGATCTGGCTATAAGAGAAACATTTTCGTGGCATTCCTGTGTTTGATGTACACATGCCACGTATCGCTCATGGGTCATCCAGTTTTTCATCTTCCTTAGTCTAACAATCAGATTTCTGTTTTCACTCCAAAATTCCTGGCTGTGGTTCTGTATATAAACCTAAAAGCCAGCTGTGGCTGAGACCTAGGGTGCAGATCACTTGTTAGCAAAGGGGCGCCTGAGGCTGAAAGGCCGCTTGTGACCCAGATGGAAACCTTATCAGTGGAACCAATCTCCAGTGTGCTTTTTGGTCTGTTTGTTCACCTTGAGTTGTGAAAAAGTAACCTTAATTGAGCACAGTTTGTATGGAAGTGAATTGGAATAGATTTGTTCCCGGCTCAAAAAATGATTTGTCCCCCAAAACAGGATTGAGACTTGAAGTTTCGGTAACATCCAGCGATCTGAAAATGCAGGTAAGAAGAGCAGCTGCCCTCTGCTCAGGTTATAGCGGTTGACATCTTTCAGTTTCCTCCTTCAAGGTAAGAATAATTTTCTTAGAGTAAATGTTTACTGCTGCACATAACCAATGTCTGTTTTTTCAGGGCACACAGCCATCTTACTGTATCCCTCTTTCTCTCTGTTCCTTTGTAGTTGACCACGTTTTACAGCTGACGTGAGTTCCAGGTGAGAGGTCACTCAGACAGTTCTGAGACTGTCAAATCTGGTATTTTTGGACTAAGTGAGTAGGTCAAAATGTACATAAATGAACCACACTTTCAATCTGATGTGATTTGAGTATACAGTGTTCTACTTTAGTTGTAACAGAAAGTATAAGAGTTCAAAAACCCCAGAATAATTCAAAACAAAATATCTTGGGATCTTTTTCTCATTTGGAAATGGATCAGGCACTTCTGTGTGGTTGAGGACTGATAGTGAAATGTAGAATTTCTCACCAGGTAACTATTAGCAGCAAAATTCATAATGGGTTTTGTTGGTTAAAAAGAGCATAAAGGAGTATTCTGTGAGGTGCTATGTTCTCATAGATCTTGGCCTATAGATCTCATAGATCTATATTCTCATACACATCTATTGCTAAATTGTGGTTATTGTAAAATGTTCTTTATCTTGTAACTTTTAGCAATGGAATGAGATACTTCGTACATTAATTCTTATAATTTATTTGTTATCATACTCGTAGAGAAACATCATTAAAACTGCTTCCAACTATTTACTTCTCCTTATGATATAACTGCAACATCAAATATTGCTATTAATAGCACCCCTGAATGTATCTATATAGTTCTGAGGATTGGCTAAAGGTTAAAATGGTAGGCAAATTTCTCAGTGATCTTTGAAACTTTTATCCTGCACAGCAACATTTTTTCCAGGTAGATTTTTTTGTGGAATAAAATGCATTGTATATACATATGATAGATAGTTCTTACAGTGCATAAACTTTAGGTACATTTTTGTTCATAGGTTTCACTTACCAGAATCAAGAGGCAACTGGAGGCCAATTTTGTGTGCTCAGGGATGGTGGAAAACACCGACAAAATCAAGCAACCAAATACAAGGAGAAAGCTGTAAAACAACAAAAACAGGGAAATCTGATGAGAACCTTGCCTTATCATGGCAGACTTAATTTCTTCTTTCTAATGAATTGGCATTGATTAAATCATAAAAGCCCTGGAAGGAACTAGCCATTTTGAATAGCAAAACACAGTATGATGTAGGGTGCACTTGATTTTCCCAGAGGGCAGCTCCACTGAGCTACAGACACACCTGCCATGCAAGCTTCTCCCTCCATCCCATCCCCAGACTCCCAGTTCAGCCACCTGTCTGACCCCATGTTGCAATGAAACTTGATAACTCTTTGTTTTGTAAAACAGTGAGTAAATAGTTTACCTCATCTATTTTCTGGCTCGTTGCCTTTCTCATATTGTACAAACATTAGTGAAGAGAAGGTTGTGGGTGTGTGTTGCATGCTGTATTCAGATGTCCGTATCTTAGTATCTGTGAATTTTCCATGAATGCCTTTCCCAAGCAGGGGTCCTGAGAAACGCCCAGAAAGTGTGTTCTTGCTCCGCTATTCTGGGAGCATATTCAGTAGCCTCGCTCTTCTCAAAGATGCAGAATCTGCCTCACGTTTAATCGTTCTGGTGAACAGGCAAGTGTTCTAAGAGGTTGTTAGAAAAAGCCCTGGGGTCATTTTCAGTGTCTGTTATTGTTCAAAGATTCTCTTTTGTTATTTCTTTATAACAATAATAAGAATAAAAAAGAAGGGAATGGCCCTGGCTGGTGTAGCTCAGTGGATTGAGCACGGGCCTGTGAACCAAAGGATCGAGGTTAGATTCCCAGTCAGGGCACATGCCTGGGTTGCAGGCCAGTTCCTAGCAAGGGATGCACGAGAGGCAACCATACATTGATATTTCTCTCCCTCTCTCCTTCCCTTTCCCTCTAAAGATAAATAAATAAAATCTTAAAAAAAGGAAGGGAATGATTTCCTCTGATACACATTTTCCATTTCCTTATAGTCAAAAGAGAAAGGGAATACTATCAGAGAAAGGACCCCTCCGCTGTCTGTTCACACACAATAAAAGGAAGCAAAAGTCAGGAGCAGACTTCTCTACCAATCCATCTACAGAGGCATTTATTCCTAGAAATATGGAACTTCTAAGGTGCACAGGGGTTCCCAAGGAAATGTCTAACAGAAAGGGAAGGCTCTGTTTTAAAGTTGAAGTTATTTATCCTGAAATGCAAGACTAAAACAAAACAAAACAAAGACCAAAGCAACAATACCCAAACTACTGTTCTAGGCCATAATTTTTGCTTTTACTCATCTCTAGGAAGTTCATATAGTATTCTCTCTGAAAACATCAGTTTCCACGTTCTCTAGTACAGCATTGGAGTTAGTCCCTGCCTCCCCTTGGCTTGCCTTGACAAGTCTTACAAGTCTTTCTACGGCACTTGTGAGCCACCAAGGGCCTATACTCAAGGATTGGTGAATTGTGGTCTGGAAACACATCTGTCCTCTAATGACTTTTTTTTAAATAAATAAAGTTTTATTGGCACAGTCACACCCATTTGTTTATGTGTTTTCATGTTACAACTGCAGAACTGAGGAGTGTGATGGAGACAGTACAGTTGGTGCATAAGACTGACATATTTGCTCTCTGGCCCTTCAGAGGAAGTTTCCCCAACTCCTAACTGATACCGTGTATCCTTTATCTCTTTGTATCTATCTCACCAGAACCAGAGTGAAAGTTCATAACTGCTCATAGCTTATGTGCTGAAAACAATTCCCAACGTCCATAGAGGGTTTTCTACAGGCTGCTACATGGGGCTAAACCCCTTTCACATGCACTAGCTACACTATTCTCATAAATGTATAAAATAGAAATATCATTATTCCCATTGTACAGATACGGAAACTGAGAATTCAGAACGTTTTGTAACTCATCCAAGGTTGCACAGCAGAAGGAGCGTTCCTGTGCTGTCTGTCCCGGCCGTCTGTCCTGTCAGTGCTGCAGAATGAGCATGCACAGATGACAGCGGCCATCACACTTGGCTCTGCAGGGCTGTGTGGGCATCCCTCTATCTCCTCCCCGAGAGGGAAGTAGTTATTGTTCCAAACAGAAATCTCTAAAGAAAAGGAGTTTACTAGTGAAAGCACCTAGCACACAATGTTAATAACTGCTCATAATAGTTTTCACTCATGCATATAATGACTCAAGATACTTTAGATTATTAAATTGGTCCGAATGGACTAAAAACTACAAACTAGAAATTGAATTTCATTGCACCTGTATGACCTGCAAACTCCTAGTGAGAAGATGAAAGTCAGGAATCACTAAGGTGGTTTGGAGGACGATGTGGCATCAAATAAAGACAGTGACACGTGCTTCTTCTTTGGTGAGTACCTGTTATCTAGGTGTGCCCCATGAGTCCAGCTTACCAGAAAACTGAGGGGAAAGCAAGCACTGGATTATTTGACCACTAAGACACCTTGCTCCTTCAAAAGCATCCCGATAATAGCTATGTTAGTATTCAAAACAGATCTATAACATGACTATATTTGATTGTTTATTCTTCATTAGCCATTTTGTTTAATATTTTTACTTCATGTCACTACTTTGCCAATTTTCTTCCTTCAGCTGATCTCACCCTCCTGTCTAAGAGGAGTGGTTTCTGCACTAGAACTCGTCATTGCTACGGAAATCTGTCTGAAGACTGCAAGTCAAAGACCTCCAATGCTCCGCTTCCCAATGGGTGTGGATGGACAAGTACATTCATTAATTCATCTGTTCCTCTCCTTTTCCTTCCCTTAGCCACTCATCCATTTACCCAGTCAGCAAATATTGATTATGTACATAATAGTAGGCTCAGCCTTGGGGATATAACAATAAACAGAATTCTTTCCTTTTTTTTTGCCTTTAGAATTTAGGGTCTACTGAGGCACTAAACAGATGTAAACAGAAATATTAAAATTCTGAGTGATTGTAAAGGTAGGGAAAATACAGGGGATCACAGAAGTACACAGGAGAGGAGGGGTTAGGCAGGACTGATCGCAATGAATTTGTGAGGTCAAGTGCAAAGTGAGAATACAGGGACCTTTTTTGGTTAAAAAATTACTAAGAATTTCAAGACGGTGACAGCAGAATATGACACCGAGTGTGAGACCCTTCTAAGTGTTGGGCTCTGGGGGAGGTTGCACGCCTATGAAGCCAGACTTGGGGTTAGGAAAGACTTTCTGGAAAAAACATTGATCAAACTCATCCCTGAAGGTCCAGCAGGAATTAGTTTGCAGTGTTGGAAATACTTCATCCACGAGACAGTGGGGGTTAAGGCCAAGAGCAAGCACAGTATCACTAAAATTCACTAGTTAATCAATAAATTAGAGTTAGTGAACACCTGCTAGCTAGCTTATCCTTTGGCGGTACAGGGAGAGTGTAAGGTAGGTCATTCCTGCAGAATCATTTTTGGTATAAGAATCATTTCAGTTCAAATGAAAACATGTACTGAGGACCTATTGTAAAAGGCAATGTGCCAAGAACTACAGAGACACTAGGATGAATTGAACTGATTCCTAAGCAGACCCTGCCCTTAAGGAATTTAATATCTAGTACAGTGGGTGAAGTGAACATAATGGATCATAATGAAGGGTTGAGGCAGATATGTCCTGAGAAAAATACTAGAGTGGCCGAAGTGGGGAGGACTCTACTTCATTAGATTGGGAGCAGCGGAAGCACATGAAGAAAAGTCTTCACAAGTCTTTCACCGATGAGCAAGAAAGTGAGGTAAAATATTTGCTCACTGTTTCATGGAACAAAAAGTTATTGAGTTTGCAGCTTGGGGTCAGACAGGTGGCTGAACTGGTAGTCTGGGGACATGCTTGCAAGAGAAGCTTGCATGGCAGGGTCTGTCTGTAGCTCAGTGGAGCTGCCCTCTGGCAAAATCACACTGGCAGTAGCTATGTTGGGATGTGTTTGAGTGTTTGAGTAGCAGTGGCGAGAGTAATGGTGATCTAGGTTAGGTTGTAAGGTAACTGGTAGAAATGGGAATGGAATAGAGAGGCAGACTGCAGAGATGCTGTAAGTACAGGTGCTCCCTGCCTTTCATAATGATTAGATTGGGGAGTAAAGTTCAGAAAGAAGGTGCGATGGTGGGAAAGCCCGAAATTTCCATACCTAGTTATGGGTGGTGCTCCTTACAAGTCAGAAGGAGAACAGCCAGGAGGAAAAACTGATTCCGAGAAGAGGATATATCCAGTTTTAGGCATCCACATAGATTGTGGACCTAGGTCTTGGGCACAAGGTCTGGTTGGAGACATGGAAGTACTTTTTTTGTAGGGGAAGTAAAGGTATGGAACGTGTTATCTTAAGGAAAGTGCAGACCAAGCATGCAAGGTTCAGGTAAATAAGCATAAAGCACAGTCAGGGAACATTTCCTAGTCTTGGAGGATGATATTCTGGAGAACAGAGAACACATCTGGCTGTGTGTTGGCTGTGGGAAGCTTTGCCAGAGACAGACTCTTTGGCTGGGGAAGCAATGAGCTGACACCAAATGACCCCACGTTGAGGTGACAGTGTTCAGACGTCAGGCTCACTGACAGCGACACGGTGCACTGCTGGGGTTTGAGTGGGCTCCGCGGACATCATCTTCCGAGGCCCCCACGCACACATGTGCATGCTGTCAACTGACCACTACCCCAGTCCCCCTCTACTGGTTGAATAAAAGGGGGAGCAGGGGCAAGAGTCATTGGATGCAGGGTGTCTTAATTTAGGGTTCCCGGGCCTCCAAGGGGTCTGTGGATAGAATTCAGGGGGTCTGTGAATGCAGATAGGAACAAAATTACATTTTTATTTGTCATTAACTATGGCAACAAACCATGGCAGTATTAGTAGTACTTATGCCTTTGCCATTCACAGAAACCACAGATATTTTCATAGCCCACTTTACAGTTGTAGATGGATCCATAATTGTTTCATCTTGAGTATTGATTTTGTTCAGCACTACTTCAGGCTTATGGTAGTTACTAGATCCACTGCTGGGGTTGTTTTTTAAATGCATTAATAAAGAAG